CAGCACTGGCTTCGTTCGGTCATATGCAACCTGTCCATTACACCTCATTTCCAACTTGTGGCCGTCCGGCGGTCAGCACGGTGCCTACCTTCCCTTGCTGAACACAGATATCGTGGCTCATCAAGCTGGCGCAAGATCAGGGCAACGACGAATTGGGTCAACAACTGCGCCTGCGTCTGCGCCTGCACAGCTGGCTGGTTCGAGAACTGGCGGTCAGCCATTCTGACGGACGCGAGTTATTTCCTGCTGGTTTTCCTGGGGCGTATTATTGTGTTGGGTGTGAAAGGCGGCAGTCGTAGTCCGCACGCCAAGCCAGGTTCAGCTGTCCCCCGAACAGTCAGTGAGTGGCGAAGGGCTTTTTTAAACACTAGTCAATTGTGCACCTATCTAAGAACTTAAATGCTGGAACAAAGCCGGCTAATGCTTAACCGCCCGATAGACACTGCTGGAAGTCGTGCTGTTCACATATCGACATTGTTTTACAGCACGAATAACTAGCCTCCTCGGCTGCCCGTTCTCTGCCTATTTACTTAACGCACTTACAGCCACTGCTGGACTTAACGGCAGTGCACCACTGTGTACCGGTAGGGGAATGAGACCAGTTCTGAAACGGTTTATTTGATGGGCCATTAACTTGCTCATTTAGTGTGACCTCAGCCAGCGCATAGATCATTAACCTTCATGTATGCATATCTCTCAACAACTGCGCATTCTTTTAATGACGAGAATTCTGTGGAGCCATCGTGTATAGAATTCTTCGGAGCCCCTTTTTGTGAATTACTGTTGTTGTCGTTATCGTTATCTGGGGTATCAGGGTCAAGCACAGAGTACCCAGATTAATGATGTCTAATGCGCCACTGGAAAACAAAATAAGAACACAAAATACTCCGTTTCAAGCGTCGTAAAATAAAATATTTCTAGATATGGCAAGGATTCTTTTTCCTTTCCTGAAGAGCTGTCCTGATGATATTGCCTACATCTTCGTTTTGCTGTCATAACGGTAAATTGACCACTTGCCATAGAAACTCAGTCCTTATGCATGATCCTGCATTGAAACGACCTCCATTTTTATCGCGCCATGTTGCTATATTAGCCTTCGACTTGAAATGCACTTCATCATAAGTCAGTTCCAAGTCTGCGAAATAAATGTTATAATTTTATTAGTGAATATGTGAACCTAAACA